AAAAAAAAAAGATCCTGTCAGAAATATGAATTTTAACTGTTGAAAAGAAAAGGTGGAAAAATTTTAAATTCAAATCATCTGTTTGACAAAAAAATGTTGATAAATTGAAATGAATTTTTTTATAAAGAAATTCACATTTTTCAGACGTTCCTTCATCTGCAGTAAGTACGAAACTAACTAATCTGGCCATAATTAGTAGCATTTATTTGGCTGTATCAATTTTTCAATGGATTTTTCGTGTTATCATAATTGAACGATTATTTTTTGATCCATTTCATAGTATGATTGACCTCTGCTCAATTGCTAATATTAGCATATTGACGTTAACGCATTCTTTACATGGATATTATATACATGGACGCTCAGTACATGGTGAAGCGGATATTGATATGGCTAGAATGAATCGAAACTTACATAAAGAACAAGTAATAGATTGTATAATTTTTAGTAAAAATTGTTAAAATATTAGAGATTAGATGTGAATTACAATAAAAAACTTTACTCATTTGATGAGACAAAAAAAACACAGAGACACAAAAACTATTCATATGTTTTTAACTTGCAAATAAAAATCTGTGCTTTCAAATTTAAAGTTATTAATTTTTTCTGATTTAAATCAATTATTACAGTCTCTTACTATAATAGCTTTTTTTCATACTAATATCCAAAAAAATGTTTCCAAAATTTGCCAAGTTTTTATAGAATATCACTATGTTTTTATTTCATCTAAGCAATCAATTATACTTGAAGGAAAATTTATGCGCCAAACGTGGATTAGAAAGAAGTAATGATCTTCAAACATATATCGTTAATTTACCAAAGGCATTTCTCGAGCAATTTGCAAGTGCTTCACAAATATCAGAAAATGAGCAGCACCGTTTAGATGCAATGCTTTCGAATAATATTGATGGAGCAACTGCGAAGATGGAAACAATTGCAAAGGTTAAATAAAATATGAAATAAAGGAGGTAAAGTAGCATATAACTGTGAATATATTGTGTGGACTAAAAGAACAACGTATGAGTATTTGAATTTGAGTAACAAAAAAATACTTTATCAAACAATATGCATACTTTTGGCAGTTTTTGGAATCTCCATCACTTAATTTCAAGAAAAATAAAATTAAGTCAGAATGTAAGAATCTGTTTCTTATTTTAGATACATCAGCAACTGAATAATTTTTTCATGGAATTGATTGAGCGTGGAAATGCGCAAATGACTTATGTCTTTCGGGAATTATCGCTACTTGAGTTAATACTTGACATGGAATTTAATGACTCAGCTATTGTTGGGAATTTCGCTAAGTTTGAATCTTTTATTTACTAACTAAATTATATTGTGGCGAAAAAATGAAAATATATGCTTAATTAATAACATGGTTGTTGCCAGTAAAGTATGAGCTTCTCTATTTTACTTTGATTTTCTATTGCATTTTCAAATTAAGTTTTTATGTGATCACTTCAGAAATGTATTTCCATTTCAGAGATAAATCAGAAATGGCTTATAGCAAAGCATTCATGTATGGAAACGAATGGATATATCTGTCATTCGAATTAGCATTATTCAGTAGTACATTCATTTTGAGTGAAAATTATGCTTGTTCAATATTCATAACTTATGCCGTATCAACTGCTATCAAGAAAACCTTATCATTATTATTCACTAACCAATTAATCAGAAGTAGTTTCGTGGATCACAGATTTCTGATGTAATCAATACTATCATCACCTTTATCTCATTACAATGACTTAAACACAAACGTTTATAACTTACTACAAAAAATTCCACCAACATATAGATATTTTTATCACATTTTGAAGTTATACATAGATAGATATTTTGTTGAATTCATCCATTTAAACTAATCATAAAGTAACATATTTTATTCGGTATTTGTAAAAGGATAAAATTTAGTACCTACATCTGAACACAAGATAAGTACACAAATGTACATCAAATCATAAAGTAATCCATGCTACTGAAAGTAGAAAAACACCCAAATACCTTTTTTCTTGTATTTCTAATGATTTTGAATGTAATAAACAGAATAATCCACAAAATCTATGAATTTTAAAGCTTACCACCTGCCTAATTGACTGTCTTGAGCTGTCGATTATACTACGGATTTCACTTAATTACCATTCATCACTACAGCCTTTTTTATTTTTTTTGAAGAGCCCTAACGCCATTTACAAGCATAAGTCATAAACATTGACAAATTAGAAAACAAAATTTCAAACAATACATTATTTTTCGCGAAATTCCACGCAATCACATAGCAGCACAACAGGTCATCAACACAAGCAAGTCAAAATACGACTCAGTCAAATACAGTATTACCTTCTCGCAAATCAAAAAATTTACTCATGAATATTATAGTCGCAGTTTTATCATTATAATTATTACATATGCTCAGTTTCGACTGATGCATAGCTAAATTTCCATGAATGTTGCCACACTTTGAGTAATGAGAAATAAAAGTCCAATTGCGAAGTATCTGAAAGTAAAAAACGGCCATAATTAAACACTT